AATGTATTGAAATCAAAATTCTGTGTATATAATTAATGAGCATTTAGTTCCACGATTTAATTAAATAAGATTTATGGATAACATTGAAGCCAGAGCGAGAGCAAGTCAGTTAAATATATACATATAGCATGTACTCAGTTGCAGAGTCCAAAGACTCTCAAAAAAGAAAAACTCGTATCGTCGCTTGCTTTGGCTGTGCGTTCAGATATATACAGCTATATAGCCGACATTTCCACTCCTCTCCTCGTAGGCGCACATTCGGTATACCCCTTCCACGCGTCTCCAAAATGTGCGCCTATATGGACATTTCCACGCGAATCCACTCTTCTCATACCCCTACCGTGCTGCTCAAATAAAAAAAAAAATGTGCGCCTGGTTCGGCCGCTTGGCCGCGGCGGGGCGCTCGAACCACTGGAAAAAAGTGGGCACACTCCGTAGCATGGCAGTCAGCAATCTCCCAACTAATCTCTGACAATGTGCGGATGAGGCACGCTATTGGAGAAACTCGGACTCATCAGAAAGTTGCGCCATCACATACCTTATCTACTTACATCATGCTGAAGCCTGAAGCACAAGCAGAAAGAGACAACGCATTGAGCGCATGGGTATCAGTCTCTCTCGCACATTTCCAACGGCGGGGAGGTCGTATAAGCCAGACTTAGTTTACTGACCCTCACCGTTGGCCGTGTAACCTCTTGAGCCTATGAGAGTGAGAGAGAGGTTCGCGTATTTTACTTATCTCTCACTCTAATGGGCTCAAATGGTTACGTGGTACGCATTACGCTCTCCATGTGACCACGGCCTAAGAGCCCATAGTGAGAGAAATGAGCAAATTTTCAGGACTCTTGAGATCTCATAACATTATTGATTGCGTGTTATTGAGTTGAGTAGCGTTATTTTACCAAGTGTAACACGCACATAGTCTATGACTGAAGAACTCATGCGCCGCGTAATCACGCGTCATGTTTTGCGTAAAACCTTTAAGTTACCACTGCATATATTTATAATGATAACCTAATAAAAAATAAATAATAAAAATCGCTTAATAATCAAGTTCATGTAATAAGAAATAAATAAACCTTATTTCAATCAATTAGAATTCAATTACAAGAATAGAAAATGACTAACGAGCTCTATTTAGATTTTCCGTACTAAGTATTTTGACGTGACTTAAAAGTCTACTATGATGTTGTAAATGTTCCCGGGAAGTGACCGAGTTATCCTACCAACAACATGGCGTCCAGTGATTTTGGTGTCATAAAGATATTACGAATAAAGTAGGGGAGTCGGCTTAAAACGCGTCCTGTCGGTAGAAAGAGAGGGCAAATGATGTGATCCTCTATGTATAGGTATACTTCTAAAGTTTTCATGCTTATAGATGGGATGATGGAAGGTCTTTTCGTTCTCTGTCTTTCTCTTATAATGAGACATTTTTACACTTATGCGTTAGGTACTCACTCCTCTACTCTATTAGTTATATCTCTACGGTGTACGCTACTTCTGCATTGAGTGTCGCTATTGTATAAACTGTGGTTTGGTTGTGAGAGTTCTTTCAGATTATCAGGCAAAGAATTCGATGTTAAAAAACTTAATAATAATATAAAATACTTATCATATAAATTTATAAACATTTCGTATGAATACTCAGAGCTCGTATCACTTCCACTTATAACCTTACTTATCTTCATGCGCATTGTTTGGACTTTCTATTACACGGCACTTTCGGCGGCAGCACCATAGAGATATCTCTATGGGCAGCACACAGAAACACAAATAGTGGGAGCAGTGCAATAGATCTCATTGGCTGTTTCAATGCTTCTCGTTCTATTGTGTCGGTCTATTCCGCTCCATGTGATCTGAATCCTTGAGCGGATTCAGCCTCAGATCACGGATCACGGTGCCACAGAAATCGGAATCGTGCCATAAGCATAAGCTTTTTCTACATTCAAGCGTTATATGTATTTTGAATGCATTACCATATAATGATATACGTATGAGTGATAGAATACCGTTTCAGCACCAACTTGTTTGTTTTCAAATCTTATTTTGAAATAATGTGTAAAGTGTTACTAATTTACTGTATTAAAAATAACATTCTGTTTCTATGATTAGTAAAAATAACTTAAGAATTAAAAATAACTAGAGAATAAACATTATACTGATTTTTTTAGCATTTTTTCTCTAGAATTTTGTCAGAGAAAGAGCACATTCTACTGATTCCGGTTTATTGTACCTTATGATATTTTAATAATGTTTAAGAAGTGCACTAAACTTAAAAGTATTGCAATTTACATTTTTATCATGTGTTTCCTATAATTCTGTAATTTGTTTAATTACTCAATCATGTTTCAAATTTCAATGAGGTTATTTTTAGAGTTATAACCCAGTGGTTTTGTATGTAATCGTAATTATTTGGAGTAATAGTGCTTAACTATCTCTCTTACAAAGTTACATTTCAGACCTGATCGAAAAATTGATGTTAAGGATTCTAATTGTTTTTAACACAAGTTTTTATGTACTCTCAAAGATGATTGATAAAGCCTGTAAAAGAGGTTTTGAAAATTTAAATTCTAAAGAGGTTAGATAAAAAGCGTAATATTTAAACGATAAATTATTATTTATATTGTTATAAAATTAAACTACAAGAATTACATTGTTAATATAAATTCGCATGTTTGACAGGTTGACTGTTGGTACGATGAAGAATTAGCTATGAAATTGGAAAATATAACAGTTTTATTGATAAGTGCTGGATATTACCGTGCTAGAATAAAAGGCTTAGGCAATTTTGATAAGGTTTGTAGATTGGTCTACTTTTGTAAGGAAAGTAAATCAAACTAAGTCTTATTTTATATCTTAAAATTTTAATTTTAAAACGTTATAAGGTTTAGTATCTCAATTAGTTCTAACGATGTAACTAAGAATATCAATTAGAAATGGATGTGAAAATTTAGAGAAAAATCTATATTTACATTGAGTAATACAGTAAAGCACTTAAGAGATTGTATTTTAGTTATTCTAAAATAATACCGTCATTTTTCTAATTAATAAAAGGTATGAAGTATCTATGCGAAAAAAATTGAAAACAAAATGCAAGAGTCTTGTTACTCACAGGGAGACCAAACCAATGATTAGTATCAGCCATACGCGTGCGCGTCGTATGCATGCAAGAAAGTCGATGTGTCAGTCATGTGTGCGACGCGGTTGCACGAAACGCATGAAGTGTTAGTCAAAAAAAATCTGTAATGAATAGAAATACTTCTATTACCAGTGCTGAAACATTATTATTTGGTAAAATTTAATTATTTCTAGCAATAATAAAGAGAAAATTTATGATATTACCAATAATATATTTTTTATCTCAAATTTGAGGTTATATGTATTAACTGTGTACTTCAATACCTACACATGTACAATTAATTCTATTTAGCAAAGATTCTTTTGACAAATGAATACTTCATGCTTTGACAAATAAATTTAAGCATTTCAAGTATTAATAAAGAGAAAATTCTATTTATTAAAGATTTTTTTACAAATCAGAACTTCATGCGTTGCATGCGACTGCATTGCACGCATGAATGCAAGTAAAGTTAATGATAACGCGGTCGCATGCAACGCATCAAGTACTTATTTGTCAAAAAATCTTTTGTGCAATTTTATCTTCATTAATACTTGAAATGCTTAAATTTATTTGTCTAAGCATGAAGTATTTATTTGTCAAAAGAATCTTTAATAAATATAATTAATTGTATATGTATAGGTATTGACGTACACAGTTAATACATATAACCTCAAATTTAAGATTCAAAAATATATTATTCGTAATACCATAAATTTTCTCTTTATTATTGCTAGAAATAATTATATTTTACCTAGTTATAATGTTTCAGCACTGGTTATAGAAGTATTTCTATTTATTAGAGTTTTTTTTTGACAAATACTTCATGCGTTGCGTACTACCGCATTGCACGCATCAACTTTACTTGCATTTGTGCGATGCGCGCGCGAATGGCAAATAGGCGCTTCCGTAGTGAGGAAATTGATAACTGCAAAGCTACGCAAAGTGTGCCCACTCTTTTCAACTGGTTCGAGCGCTCTATCGCGGCTAAGTGGCCGAACCAAGCGCACGTTTTTTTTTTTTATTTATCATGAACTATTTAACCCGATTACTTATAGTGTCATAAACAGTCATACATGCTTTAACAAAAAATTAACAATATGAGCACCAATCACCAGGTAACCCGGAGTGCCTACCGGTCACTTTATTAATTAATAAACTATGATTAAACAATACAAATGCCAATCACCAGGTAACTCGAAACGCTTACTGGCTACTTTATTAGTTAATGAATTATTACTTCGTAATAGAAGTGCTCATTTAAAGGCGCTTGTAGGAAACTTAATAAATTAATATAAAAGTAATATATAACGCAAGAGCCAATTACCAAGTTACCCAAAACACTTACTTGCTATATTATATACATATATAGGTTAATAAATTGTAACTTTCTAACACGAGCACATATCATCAGGTAACTAATGGCGCTTACTAGACACTTTCTGGTTTGATAAATTATCATTTCATAACGAAAGCGCTAATCACCAGATAATCCAAGGCACCTTCTGGCCACTTTATTAATTAATAAAGTACGATTAAACAACACAAATATCAATCACCAGATAAATCTCGAGACATATGCAGGTAGCTAAATAAATTATAATAAAAATAATCGTGAACACTACCACTAATAACCAGGTAATCAAAACGCTTATTTTCCATTTTGTTAATTATTAAATGGTAACTTTTAAACATAAGGTGAACCGGAGAGTTTACATGCTATTTTATACATTAATAGAGCACGATTAAATAATAAACCTAATAATTCCAATCACTAGGTTATTTGAGGTGCTGGCTGGCTGCTTAACAAATAAATAAAGAAATATTAAACAACATTAGCACCTATGATCAGGTAACTCAAAATGCTTACTGCTTATACTTTATTAGTTAATCATGTGTCACTTCGTTACACAAGCGCCAAATACTAGGTGACCAAGGACGATGCCTGACTATTTTATTAGTTAATAAAGCCTTACTTGATATCACAAGCGCCTCAGTTGTTTATTTAGTATATTTTTATCGCTTAATGTTTTAATAATCTGTCATAAATTCAAGTGACCTAGGTCACCTATTATTAGGGCTAATGTTATGTATTGTTTTGATTGATTTATTTAGTTGTCCGCTTTTCTAATAAAGTAGTCCGCTTTTGTAATAAAGATCTTTGTCCGCTTTTCTTCTTCTCCACTTTTGGTAAGCTTTCATCACCTTTCTCATCTTAGTCCTACAAGTCTTGTCCCACCACTTCCTTTATCCTAACTTCCATTTCCTCACTACAATTTCTTTTCTCACCACCGATTTATTCACCACTTCCTTTATATTTATCCACACCGTATCCACTGATTTTCCTGGCACCATACAGCTTTCTCTGCACAATCTCTCCGCTTCCTGCCCTAAAGTAGCCGTGTCCTCCACGTCCCATTTATAGACACACCTCTTTCTTGGCTTATCAACGCTGCCTCTGGTCGGCTCCATGAAACTGCCCTGCACATCCACGGTCAATCACAAGGGCATGTGGTCCGAGTCTGCCCTCCCAGCAACCCTAAAACTTCATATCCAGCCCAACGTCTTATCGCTAACTGGTACATAATCGATCACCGAGCTGCGTCTTACCCCTACAAAAGAAAATTCCCCATCTTCGTCCCCCTTACTCCAGCCCTTTATCATTACCAAACCTTTACCCACTATCATTTCCATCATCTGATTTCCTTCGTTACTTACTATTACATCTCTACTTTTTCTTTTTACAAAAAGCCCCTTATCTAGATCTATAAAATCAGCTAAGTTACCCACCCTTATGTTAAAATCCCCTCCAATTACTAACTTCTCGTTTCCGTTGAATTCATAGCTATTTATATAATCTAAAACCTGCCCTAGATCACCTGAGTGGTACACCGACCAAACATTGAATATGCAATTTCTGATCTTTAGCTTAAACATTACAATTTTCCCTTTTATTTACTCTCTGCCTCAATCGCTCTCCATACAAAGTCTTTAAAGCTAGCTTTCAAAAGCCACCCAACGTTTTGGGCCAGCTACGTTTCACACAAGCTAATACAATCGAAATCTTCAACAAAGTTCCAAAAGTCCCTGTCTTTTTTTGCAATACCTGCACAATTCCAATACACACACTTAACCTCACAAGATAACTTACAATTTGCACACTTTACTTTACCTGACTCCGCACCTAAAATCTTACGCCTAATTTTACCTCTTGTGGGTTCTACGCAAAAAACTCTTTTATACTTTAACTAGAACTGTTAATTTCATTTCCCTCACTCACTACACCTGCCGCACAGTTATTCTTCTTTGCCCCTTCTCCTAGTTGTTCTTCAGGTACCGCCTGGCTACTGACCTTGCTGTCCGCCCCCGCTGCCTTCGTACACCTGTTGAAAATTAAATCAGCTTTAACCTCGCTCCACCACTTGAACCATCTTCCATTCAGCCAGAATCCACCTAACTAACTCCTTGCCCTTGTGCCTTACTCTTGATTTCTTCTTACCCACGCATTAACGCTTTTCTGCCTCTCCCTATTCTCAAAACTGAAGTCATTCTCAATGAAATATTTTGACCCCCTCAGCTTATACTTATTTTTCAGAACCTCTGCCTTATCTTCCCCGCTACCAAATTTTACTACAAATACCTTTCCGCTCCTTCACACACTTACCACTTCAACACGTACACCAAGCCTTTCCGAGAGAAACATATTCCCCCCTGTACGAAAATCTCCGTGCAAAATAATACCTCTAATTACAACATTTTCTTGTCGATCCCTCTCGTCCTGTTGTTTAACAAAATTTTTTAACATGGATACATCGCGTTCGGACAGACAACTCCTACCCATACTCGAACCTAGCCCCCTGATACCTTACCTATACTACCGTTACAATCATTCCCTACACTATCCCTTGACAGCACATTACCTACATTTTCTACCTTATCTACCACACCTTCGAAGTGCTCTAGCTTAGCTCTAACTTTTCCCATAAAATCCGCCATTTCTTTCTCCAATGATTCCACTTTCTCCTTCAACCCTACCTCCAAAGCTTTTACGTCTACGCTACTCTTCCAGCGCTACGCTTTCCTCCCTGAATTCTTTAACCCCGACACTACTTCATCCCTCACTTTTCCTAACTCCTCGTTCACCACCTCTCTCTCCTTCACAAATAACTCCTCCACCTTGCGCAACCTCTCTCTCAACGCCAGACAGCCCGAACATTCCACCACATTTTCCTTCTCACTAAACTTCATTCCCCTCGCAAAACTATCCGTGATTGACGTTTTGCACATTTCCTGCCTTCTCCGTCCTCTTGATTTCCGCCACGCACGTCATCAATCCCGAGCTTTTAGACCTTGTGTTTGCTGTACTGGTCAAACCTCCTTCTCCCTTAGTCGCCACCACAACCTTCGAACTCTTCATCAAGCTTTTATTCCTACAGTCTTTTTCCTCTTCTTTATCTCCTTTCTTTCCAAACATACTTTACACGCTCTCAAATACGATAACACACAAAACGCACCTCTAACCTAACCTTACTTCCCCAATAGCCCCACGCCGTTTCTGGCGAAAACACAATTATCCAGACCCGATTAACAAAACGGCAACACAAAAACCGTAAAAGTTTTACAGTAAATCGCAAAAAAGACGAAAAATTGACGGAGCCGAGTACACACGTAACCACTC